ATATATCACGAGCAAACAAAAAGTATTATGTATATTTTCAAAACAGGATTTATGCCGATAATGTGTTTGACAACGGATAACTAAAATTATTCAAAAATATACAKAATATTGTATACAGAATTACTGATGTAGATGATGATATCTTACAAGTGTTCTWMTGAGTTTTTAAATACTAAAAATTACTAAAACAAAAATTACAGAATACAATAGAATTTTTAGTAATTTAACTATATATGATGTCCATAAAAAGTACTAAAACTATATAACTGTTATTAGTGTTATTACTTAATTAATATTATATGATAATGTATCTATATATATTTTTAAGTTACCTGTCAACCTATCTTATCCGAAATGATTTAATTATTGATCAAAAAATAATAAAAATTAAAGATTCAATCAGAATTATTAGACGATTTCTTATAGAAAAAAAAAATTGTATACGATGTAACTATAGCAAATATTGATTTTTGACCGTTAAAAAATACGTGATTCCAACAATAGGGTTCGTTCTACTCTTGAGATGAGTTGGCTTTTGAACGTTAAATTCTKTMGGCAGATAAGTCAGATAAGCATCTGTCGTTTATTTTTTTTTACTTATATTAGCAGTCCCTAAAGCCATTCAAATACACGAACATTGTTCAATTCGGATGTTTTTTTGTTTTAATTAAAATGCAATTATTTGAGCATAGGTACTACATATATTTCTGTTTGAAAAAATATATATAAATACGTATGCATTAAATACAAAATTAATAAAACACTAACCTTGGTAGAATTGTGATGCAAGGAATCGAATGCTTCTCCTTTGGATATGAGGTTCTTCAATTTCAATGGTTTTTGAACAGGGACGTTCGAATGGCCGTTTGACAATCCATCAGTGGCTAAATCAACGAAACGACTACTGACCAATGATCCTCTTTTTGTTGTATTGCCCGGTATGATTAATTCTAGTGGAACTGATTCGTCCGGTGTGTCACGTGCCATTATTTTCAATTATTCCTAAATGAATTAAACATATTTAAAAATTTTAAAACTGTTTAAAACTAAATTGTGTTAATTGATTTGGATTTATAAAAATCTTAATTGAGCTATGGTTTTATGTTACCTAGATTAAATGTATTTTATGATAATAATTAATAACATAGGCGTTATTAAATTAAACGCATAAATGTGTTTTAGTCCTAAGAAATATTTGATGAACAATAATGCCATTTACAATTTATTGACTTTGGAATTCTCAAACATAGAAAAGTAATATTAAAGATTTATAATATATAAATGAAAAATACTATTTTAATTTTATAGTTACATATTTGTTTATACGYATATAGTAATACTAGATATTATGATACTTTTAAATCATCATTATCCACTATTCTACTTTTTATTCTACATAATTGAACTCGTAGATTCCATTATTCTAAACATAGTTAGAAATATTATTGGAAATAATCATATTTTGATGATTTCTTTAAAGTCCTTAAAATAATTATATAAGATTAATGTATATTACTAATGAGTTTCTTTGGGTTAAACTACTTTTTCACGAGTTTAGAATTACCTAACTATTAAGCATGACTTATTGCTTGTTTATTTCAATGAACCCTTTTAGAATGTTTAAGTATAATGAATAATTGATTTTCTTTTATTGGATTTAACCATTATTTCTAAAAGGCGAGTAAAATTTTGTGGAAGAATTTATTATTTTTTTTT